TCTGACACAGGAGAAGTGTGAGGGTCAGCAGCAGTTGGTTTCAGATGAGAAATAACGGAGATAAAAAACAATATGCTGCTTTCATTAACTTCACTGAATAATTCAAAGTCTCTGTATTTAACAACTTGCTAAATTAGGAACATTTTTTAGCCTCAGGCACCAGTGTGTAACACCTCCATGGTTCCATTAAACGTGCAAATGATGAACCTTTTAACTAATCATTAAGCAGCAATAAATTACTAATTGCCTAGTTACCGCTGTTGTGATAAATAATGGCCTGATTATGAGGTGTGCTGCTCCTATTGGCCAAATATTGATTTTGTCAAGTTATTTTTAACACGAGTTGAAGGAAATACTAAAATGAAATATACTGAAGAAAGTGACTGAAGACGGAGAAAAAACCCCACAGGTTTGTGGATCTGTTCACTTCCACTCACATACAGTATGGATGAGCCCGGTTATTTCTGGACCAGAAGCTTTCAGGGGAAGCGACAGAACCTGTCCGGTTGAACAAACCTTGAACGAGTGCGAGTGAGGCGCTCATCTGTCCCTGTCCTTTCACATTTACTGTGAGATTACCCAGGAGGAAACTGTTGATCTTAGTCAAAATGGAACTTGTTTTCTGACTAAACCTCAGCTTATTGGTTACAGTAGAAGGAGTAGGATTGGTAGTACTACAGTAATAGTACGTGATTATGCAATCATAAAACACAATTATGGCTACTTTATTAGTTGTATGGAGCACATGGAGTAGAGAAGTGTGTCTGTAAAACATAATGGTGGAGAGCTGAAATTGTCTACGGAACAAGAGCACTTTAAGTTCTTTTCCCATTATTTTATTCTTGGAAATTGACAAGCCTTTTCATGATATATATCAGATCATGGACAGATGAGGTGATCGTATTAAAACAATAAATAAGTGCAACGTGACGGGACATTCAAAAAGTTTATTTTACACTTCAAGTTTTACAATGAAAATCCAGAGTTCCTGTTCTAAAAACAAAGAAAAATAGATTCATACAATTAGTTACAATTTCACAGAACAGCAATCGTTTTTATTCGTCAGGTTTTGTCGTCTAACTGTGAGCTCACATCAAGTGCTATTCTATAGACAAATAACCTGCATGCATCTATGTTTAGTAGATGATGGGAATGGGTCAGGTCATGACAGATGTGTGTTGACCGTTGGAAAATACAATGTTTTTAGGAAGAAAAAAAACAAACAGATGTAAATGTTTTGTTCTAATCCTGAAACTAGTTTCACTCACGATTAAAAACCTGCTGTCAGCAGATACTGCGTGTTCTGCAGTGGTGAGCATGTTGTTATGTACAGAGGTGACGGTGGTGTCTCGATGCTCATGCCATATCAAAAATACAGTGTGTTTCTTTTAAAGTCAGACACTCATTCCTCCCAGATGTGATGAGGTTTTGTAGTGTGTTTTGTATTGCAGTCATTACTAACTCCTCAGTAAAGACGTCAGTGTTACTTCACCTCTAAGATTATTCACTACGTTGCAGTTATTTTTGGTATCTACCGTGTGTCAGTTTTAGCTTGTGTAGATTGGTCTAAGGATGCAGAAAGGCTCTCTGAGTGGATCTCATTCTACGTAAGGTGCGTACATGCAGGTGTGTCCTCGGCAGACCGTCTCCACCAACTGTCTTTCCTGCTCCTCCGTAAGAAGTTGGAGAACAAGTTGTCGGCACAGGAATCTAGAATTTCACTGGGTGACGCTCTCCTCAAACCTCGATGATGTTGATCGATGGCACTGAAGGATGAAACTGCAAATCACAAGGAATATGACCGTCACAAATTAGGCTTGTGCTTTGTAAACATTCTGACAGTCATTAATGGCTTGTCGTATGGACACATTTATCATGTTAGCCTGTTCCTAATTGTGACACCACGGTGCTGCGATGAGCCGCACCGTGGTTAACAAACAAAAGTATTCTTTAAGTTAAAAGAAAAAAGTTTTATGACAAAGGCAACAACTTTATAAAATGTTAAACACTGACAACAGACAAATTAAGATTACGTCAGCACGACAAGCGTTTTTTGCCTATTTTTCTCCCCTGGCTAATCCTAATTCTACTTCCTTATCTTAAAAATCTAATTTATGGTTAAGACATTTTCTTTAATATAAGAAATGTTAAAAAAAAGCATCACATCTGAATTTATTCACATTTTCAGAATTGCGGCTTAAGTAGTCATATAGCAGTAGCCTTAAAATCTGACTATATTCATATATTTGTTTGAATTTGTCAAAAAAAAAAAAAAATCCCTCCACGTTCGAGCTGTAAGTTTGCATTTAGCACCTTACATTGTAATTATGGGATTGCCTGCATGGACATGTGCAGAAGTTAATTCTAGTTATAGGAAATGTGAAGCAATGCAGATGTGAATCAGGGATCAGTTTGTTTCTTCAGCAGAATGAAGCCTACTGTATATTTCATCCTTCGTGTGAAGGCAGTTAAAAAAAACAGTGCTACTGTCCCTTTAAGACCTTTTCAAATGATTTGGCTGGAGACTGTCCAGTCATTCAGAATGAATTTGCTGTCACAGCTAAATGGAAACTAAAATGTTTGGTGGCACAAACAAGAAATAGAATGTTTGTATTCAGGGAAATATTGACGTTTTTATTCTCTTTTGGCCTCAGTTCTAATTAATCAACTTTAGCAGAGAGACTTTTCCAGGAATTAATATTGTTAGTTGATGATTCAGGGGCCTGTAATTGTTATCACAAGTCATCACTCACTGGGAGTTCAGGATTTAATGACAATAATGTTAGTATTCAGTGTATGATATTGATCGCATTATTTCACAGTGCATTAAGGAAAAATGACTCACTGTGAAAGTGATTAAAACTATCACTCCCACACATTAAATGTTTCACACAGTAATTGTTTCAGTGGATTAAAGTGAAGTCTCCAGAGACACTCCTACTGTACGTATAAATAATAAAATAAAGGTGTTTATTGTTTTATTCTTGTATTTATTTTATATCAGCTGGATTGATAAAATATTCTGATTCATATTTCATGAACTGCAGTGGCTCTGAGGTGGAGGGGCGCCGTGCTGACCTTGCTCCTCAGCAGGCCTCCGCTCTGATGCTCCGGCGTGCTCCTCTCGGACGACGGCTTGGCCTTCTCCTTATTGTTGCTGGAGTCGTTGTCCTTTATGATGTCATACTGCCGGCAGAACAGGGCAATAACAGCTGCCAGGTGGTGAGAGAGGAACACACACACACACACAGAGGAGGAGGAGGATATTAATTCAGTCATGAGGCTGCTGCTGTCACTCAAAGACATGTCATCACTTCCTGGAGCGCAGCACATTGAAAGGCCATGTGGATAATGTGATTCCGGTCTCAGGAGGGAGCCGTGTCTCAGCCTTTATCTAAAGTTTGGAAGGCAGTAATTCTCCACGGACTTCTTCTTTGCCGCATGTTTGAATCTGCCAGATGCAGTTTCTCAACCTCAGCTTGAAATAAAGTGTTTTCTTACAAATACGTCTGTGAGAGGCTGTGGTTATGAATTTCTATTGGAGCGCTCTGGTTATGTATTCAGAAATAAGTGGAAAAGCGCTGGTAAAAAGGGGGTAATTAATGTAGAAATTAATTACATGCACGCAGTAATGTCTCAGCTTCCCGTCACAGACGGCAGCACCATCCTCTTCTACCATTTACACTGCAATTATTAAAAACTTTTTATTTCAGTTTATTGAAATCGACAGCTGCAACATCATATTTAGTGCAGTATAATTTTACTGCTTTCTTTAGTCAAATAAAAAAATCTAAATATGCTGCCTCCCCCTTTTTTTGCTTTCAGCGCCACCTATAGGCCAAGGCAGAGAGCTGCACACTCTGAGTCTGGATCTGTTGGGGATTTTTTTTCCTGGTAAATTTTTTTCCTGAATTGCTTGCTTGATTAAAGAAATATTAAGGATTGCTTTAATAATTAATAATTATAAACCACTTGGTTTGGAAGTGAGGGTTTGGACTTGTGTTGAAGGAAAGTCGTTATTCTGTACAAAGATTGTTGCAGAAGGAGAGAAAAGTAAAGGCTTAAAAATGATGGACATACTGTATAGAAGAAGTAAATAATAAGACTGGGAGTGAGATGGAGGCAGCTGATCCACCGTGGGACAAGCTCAAAAGAAGATGCTCCAGAAAAATATATAAAGTATATCTGGCAGACATCAGTGGGTTTGCCACCAAAGAATATGCAGTAATATAAGGTAAAAAAAAAAAAAAAAAACCCTTTTCAATGTGCTCAGGCAGAACATTATGAATTCTCCACATGAAGTGTTCTTATCAGTTCACTCCCACTCTTAACTGCCTACACTTACTTTGCTCACTCTCATTTGTATTATTGAACATCTCGCTGCTATGCCCGGGGGTGGACGCCTGTCAGATATGCCACTTCTGATTTCGCTTCAACAGTTCATTAATCTGCCCACGTCCTCAAATTTGCCCCCAGGAGGGGAACTCTCAGAAAACCATGATGATGTTAGTCTTATTTGCTCAGAGGGACCAGACGTCCAGAGTCCAGCCAGGGTTTCCTTTCTCCACACGTGTGTTTACCATTTTGACCTGGTAAACTACACCATCAGTGAACTGTACACTCAACACTGTACTGTTACTGTTCAAATGTAGTAGTAGTACCTTTAAAATTAGAATGAAGTGAAGTTCAGAAGTACTGTAATGTTGGTTTTTAGTAGCGTACCTACTTTTCTTGAACTGTGACTATTTATATTATTTTTCATTTTAAGGAACAAATCAAACAAACCGATACCTGCCCACATGACCAAGACCACCACGATAATGATCATCTCTCCTGTTTGTAGATGTCGGGACTTGTCCAGACCTTGGACGGTGGGATCATCTGGTAGGACAAACACACAAACACAAGCATCAAATACACGAGACTGAGTGAAAAGGAGGAAAAGTTTGTCCTTAGTCTTAGACACACTGAACATTAAAATACAGTCCAGTAGAACAACATCACAGACCAGGCCCCCGGATCAGTTTGGCAGGGTGGGAATTACACCCATTTGTCTCAATAAAAAATAAACGGACATTTCAACCTTCACTGTAATTGTGCAGGTTGCAGTGGTTCTTTTTATTAGATTTTCTGATGAATGTTGGACATTATGCTCCAGGAGGCCTGGACTTGTGACTTTTATCCTATTAAACCAAAACTGGAGGAGTCCACGTGCACATTAGCACGTTTGAACCTCGTGGCAATAAGCCGTCTTTAAGTGGATTGACTCGAGTGCAATTTCCCTTCTTCAAACTACATTTTCTCTTAATCCACATAGATGGAAGTTGTCCAGAGCACCACTCTGACCAATTGCATCCTTAGTGAATCAGGATGTCAAGAAACTGGACTTGAATTCGACGACTGTCAGCTGTTGTCACATGGTAGCCATCTCTATTCAATATAAATGAAGGAGGAGAGACTGTGGACGTTTCCTAAATGATAAACCAACAATCTGGAGACGTCAAGTTCACGCCACAAACACACATCATTAGTAACAGGGCTGTCATGATGACATCAGGATGTGACTGTACAGCTGAACATCTGAAGCACTACAGTAGCTTCAGTAGCAGACACCTATTGAACACACAGTACAGTATCTCCAGTCAACCTCAACAGCATGTCACGGCGCTTCTTCATAAATATTTGATGTCAGCACCCCGTTGAATGTGCCGCTCCGTTTCCTGCTGCGTATGCAGCTGCTGCGGTAAAAGCAGCGGTGTTTTGGATAGAACCAGTTCATTTTAATCTTTTATTATATATTCAGTAAAGTATTTTAATTGTACACAGTTTTTTTTATAGCCCATAAAAACATTCCAACATGGAAAGACCCGAGTGTTTGGAATGCTAAGCATGGAGCCGGTGGAATCCTTTTATATCAGTGAAGTTAATAGAATCAAATGGCGTAGCTTCTGACTCAGCAAAGGCAACGCGACACGTGCTTTGAAGTTCCCTGCGTTACTTGTGTCTTAGGAGACCACCTACCCAGTTAGAAGCCACTCCTCTAGGCCTACGTCACTTTGACAGGTTCGACTGTCAGCAGGTGACAGGTTTTTCATCATCTGTGTCGAGGAAGTGATTACCATATTACTGCAATACTAGGACACCGTGTAGCACTGACGACTTTTTAATTCACATTTGAACTTTTCACACAGCGGATCGCACCTCAGTGAATTACACCAAATCTGGCCTTAAAATTTACCTAAACCTTTAGGAAACAGATGTTTTCTAAACAAACTTAGAAAGTGACACCAGAAACAAAGTGTAAAACAGTTGCTCTGTTATGAATTAATGTTGTGCTTATTCTAGTTTTTAGTGATTAAATCTTACAGCCCTGGCACATCATTACTCAAGGGCAAAGGATATAAATATATTTTAATGAAAAACTCCCCGGCGCACTAATAAGACTGACACGGACTGGAAAGATATTGATCCATAAAACGTTGCAGGAACTTATTCCAAGAATCACATTTTCCGGTGATAAATGCTACATATTTTTATCATCATAAATGTGACTTAAAAATCAATTAATCCCCGGTGAAGGAAAACCGTTTTCCCTGGAAGAACAAAAATTGTAATCACATTAAGATGATAAAAATAAAGACCCACGTCTACGGCCGTTACAGCCGTGGTTCTCCACACAAACCAGTTGAAGTTTGAATAGAAGGCACTTGGCCGTGACAAAGGCTTTTTAAGATGGCGTTGTAACGTTGCTGCCAGCTGCATGAAAAGTCTTTAATGGAACAGTGTTCCGCCACAAGCAGCAGGGAGAGGGTGAATGTCAGACTTAATTATTTTACATAAAGATTAATGAAGGGATGCTGTGTTTAAAGGCGGCTGGACCACAAACGTCCTTGTTACTGTATGTGTTTATAAGAGTTTTTTTAATCGGCTAATTTTTTATCACTTTAAGAGAAGTATTTATTACAACTAGAAGAACTATGTTTTTTTTTACTTAAACCAATAGGAACAAAGCCAAATAACAAACCTGTTTTTGCAATAAACCTAAAGTAAAATGTTGGAAGAAATTTAGCAACTTGTAGTACTGTACTGTTTATACACTACAGTATATCAGACTGTCAGTGTGTTCACTGCCTACTACATTAAGTCAGTTTGAGTCAGTTCCACGTGGACATGTCACAGCTGTGTTTTACGAGCGCATTTCTCTGAGGTAATTCACGTGTGTCAGTGAACTCATCTGCAGTGAGACAGTGTGTGTACAGTAGTAGAAGTATATAAAGAAGTGGAACCCACATGGTGGGTCTGCAGTGCTGACATTAGATCTGTGAAGAGCTGACGCTGTACAAGTAAATATACAAAGTCCTTTGAATTAAACTTATCCACTGAATGCACTTTTTCTGACCCACATGGAAGACCGATGGAGGAGGAGGGAGTAATGGAGGGAGACTGGGGTGAGGGGAGGAGTACAGATCCTGATTAATGTTTCTTTCTGACTTTTCTTTTCAAAGAGTCCTGAAAAAGTAGCACATCTCCCGCCAGGAGATCCTGTCCATGCTCAGCACTTTGCTCCGATATTGATGTCTTTTTCTATCTTCAATCCTTCTCAAGTCGAGAAATTAATTTCCTTTATTGTGGAGCCCCCCCGCCCCACCCAAAAAGAGCGGAAGCGTAATGCCACTGTCAGTACTTCCCCCTAATGGACAGAGAGTGTGAGCACTTGTGTTGAACTCATGCTTGAATCAGTCTCTTTCACTTTGGCGGAGCTGGCTGGCCTAACTAATGGTACGCAACCTGAGTCAGCTCAAAAGAAACATTTGTGATTCTCGTGCGTCAGCATTTCCTCCATTCAAGGCCTTGACCAACCGTAAAACAGCAGATGACAAACAGTTTAAATCAACGCTCCTCGTGCTCGCTCAATGTCAAACACAGGCCGCCATCAATTTAAAAGCTGCTTACTGTTTTTGGCCTGAACGACGGGCGTTTCTGACCTGAGATCTGCTGACATGATGATAACAAAGGGCAAATAATTTTATAATTTGTACTTTAATTCAAGAATACTTCTAGCTTCCATTCTTCTCACTATAGTTAGTTGTCTAAATCGAATTAAATATAGATCAAATATTTAAAAAAAATATTTGGGTCGAGAATGTAGCGGCAGAACTTGGACAACTGTAGTAGATGAAGCTCTGCTGAAGTGTTTGATCCTTAGAAGTACTGTTTTAGATTAGTGCAGGGGGCGCTACATGCTGTGTTTAGTAAGGGATTTCTGTATACCTGCAACCTATACCTGTAATTCTAAAGTGTTAACATTGGCTCACATGTGTCTTAGAGTCTGCGTCAGTTTCCAAGTTTGGCAGCGGAGTCGTTCCATGAATCTAGAATTCATTCACTCTTCATTTTTGAAGAGTCTGTCAATAATGCAGAGGTAACTGGGAGAAAATAAACCTGGCAGTCCCTCCACTGAGCCCCTGCTGAGGCCCTGGACCTCAGGTTAATGCACTTACTGTAGGTCCAACACTGGCTTTTACTCCGGCTCCATTACAATGTCAGGTGGCTTTAAAAGCATTCAGCCAGAGGAGGTTTGAGTGCAACACCAGGACAACTCTTTAGCCGATCTGCCTATGAAAAATTGTCATGCAGCAGGACATGCAGGATGAAGTGCACAGCAGAACATTATGTGTCATCACTCTGGTGATCACCTGGTGCAGTGACTAGTTGTGACTTTTGACATTCACATTACATTAAATGTCAAAAGAAGCGTGAAATTAAAAGATCCTGAAATAATTTCCAGCATTTTTTTTTTCTGTCTCGGTTAGCAGTAATTGACTTCTTAGACTGAAGACAGACCCCCACTCAAAGGACATTTACCAAGCATGAACTATAGCATGATCTGCTCCGGTGACGTACCTTGGTTGGAGCTGTTGGAGGGAAAGCGGTCAGTTTTCTTGAGGGTCCTAAAATGGACCTTCTTGCTGGCTTGACTCTCTCCGTACAGGCCAATGGACTGGACCTGAATGATGTAGTCCGTCTCCTCCTCCAGGTCCCAGAGGACACAGGAGCGACTGGTGGTGTTGACCTCACGGATGAATCGCTGCATGTGTCCGTCCTGTTTCTGGTTATTGGAAGATAAGCAACACAAACCACAGAGCGGTTGAATGAATCAATACTGCGGCCAATGGGGCGATCACTGCCCACAACTGTGTCCCTCGGGAAAACACGTGTCCAATAAACAGCTCTGTTGCTTCACTAAATGTTTTTAATCTCTACAGCGCAACAAAGCATCGTCATCAACATCAATCAATCGAAATAAATGAGCAGAAAATTATTTCTATGTCCAAAAATAAGGTGAGACAGAGTGGTTACAGAAAGTAAAAATATTCACTTTAGTGGAAATACTTTTGACTAAAATAAATGCATTTGATTAGAAACAGTAAAACTTGGTTGGGCATATATTTTAAATATTTACCAGTTATTATCCTTTACTGTAAGTATAGCTCTAGATCTTCTTTAAAGGTAGAGTCTCAATTGTTGCAATAGAATTTAGTAGCTGGAAATTCTGTGCTCCATTATTCATTATTATCTTTCAGTGAAAGTGAAAAGAGGTGGTTGTGAGGTTGTGTCGTTATGACAGTTGTTGAACAGCAGTAAACGAACAAACAGCTCCAGCTCATCAGTTGCTCTGAGCAAAAAAAATCAACTCCATACAGGCTTCATGAAGCAGAGGAACATTAAAAAATAAAACAACTCCATTTTATTTCAGCATTTCCTCATTCAGTGTAAGCCTTCACTGCTTCGACAAGTAAGTCTGTCATTGTTGTCACTGCATCTGCACCTTTTATTTTCTCTCCTGACAATCCGCCCAGTCGAGTTTTATTCTAATCCGGGGCCTGGAGGCAGGGGTTTTGTCTCCATTTTCAGCCGAGCATGAAAGGATTTTTCGAATGAATGTGTTTAAATAATACAAACCAAATCTTTATTCACCCAGGATCTTGTGTAAATGTGCTGCTGTTTACTCAGCAAACACACAAATATCCCACTACCACGTTGGTGCAGACATGAACATGAACTAATGGGAACTGTATTCACCACAGTCTGTTCTACAGGACGCCAGACGTGACACAGAAGGTAATTGATTCAGCTGGGCACGCCATCCAGATTTTAACGGTTACAAAGATGGAGCTCAGCTGCCAAATGTAAAGGTGCAGTTTAATTTTATTTAATAACAACACACACTGCTGTTTTGTCACGACTTGTTTGACTTGTCTGAGACTTTTCAGTGTACCTGTTGTGAAATGGAGAAGCCGATGATGATGTCTCCCTCTGGAACGTCCCAGGACACAGTTGCTGAGTCGGCTCGCAGATGCATGACGGACACATTGACGGGAGTTGGTGGCCGGTCTGCAGGGCAGCAAAGGAGTGTCGAGGGGTTAAGTACCTGAGTTTAGTACTTTTGAGATCATAAACATTCGAAATCATTCAGTTGGCTTTTGGTTCAGTCCAACATTGGTTTTGGTGTGCGGTTTCACAGTTTCACAGTTTCACAGATCATGGGTTAGAGCTCAAGACCAACCAGATACTTCTGGTTGGTCTTCCTGGGGCGGCCTGAAGGGGTTGCAAAGACTACACCGTGAATTCTCTTTTTTCTCTTTTCTATCTATTTTTAGTTTGTGTACTTGGCTTTGATCATCAATCTGCTTTTAAAAGGCTTTTATAAATGAATCTGGTAGCGAAAGGTTTGCTAAAGAGAGATTAAAGTATGCAGTCTCTTTATTCTTGTGCCTTTCGTCATTTCTTCACTGGTTGATGTTCTGTTTACCACACAGATAAAAAGAGAAATGAAAAAAAGCAGAAGGTGCACAGATCTACTAGAGGGGGCTGATGGCCCCCACGTCTGTGTGCAGTCACTCAGGTCTGATGAAATCGTGGCTTCAGCTCAGCTTCTTAGAGAAAGCTGCAGTCCATCCTCACAGCATTTCTTATTAAAGCGATTCTAATGGGATTTGTGTGCCATCACAGCAGATAACTGCTGTGCAGAGGGTCAAGTGAGTGGGAACCTGCTCCCACACATGAAACAAGAAAATCCCACACAGAGTTATAAATGTAAGCTGGAAACATCCTACAGAACTTTTCAGTTGCACTTAGTAAAAAAAGAACTGAAGTGTCAGATAATGTGTTTAAAAAAACTACAATTTGAATGAAAACAATCAGAGCTAAAGATTTGATTCCCTCTCAGATCCGTTCTGTTTTATCTCCTGGGGTCTTTTATAATCCCCTATTTTTACTCCTTTCTTTTCTGCCTGCTGCTCGCCTGTCTGTTTTTATCTCAGAGGATCAACGGCGCCCTCTGTGTTCAGCGCAAAAGGTGACATTGAGGCAGATCTGGAGGCCTCGGGGTCACACACGAGCTATCAGTCTCCCCATCTCAGCTTTTGTGGCGGAGAGGATGTCGGGTCAAGGCCGGGGGTGAGGCTCCTTCCTCGGGCTGGTGACATTGTCAGAGATTGGTTTTGTGTGCAGGACAGATGAGAGGAGATGAATGTTCCCACTGCAGGGAGCAGGGA